TAGGATGCAGAGGACAAGGAGGTGATGGAGAAGAGACGCAGAGAGTGGGCTGCAGAAAAGGAGCACAAGGAAGAGGAGGAAAGGAGGCATATTGCTGTGTACAGGGAGGAGAGGGAGAAGAAGCTTGAGCGTGCGTGCCGAGCGAAAGCAGCGATGGAGGAGAATACCGATGCCCTGAGGAAGGAAAAGTGTCTCGTTGCACTCAGTAGTCTTTATGACTTGCTAGTTCTTCGGTTTATTCATGAGCAATGTTGTCTAGTCTTGGACTTCTTATTGTGTTATCATGTACTGCACTTTAAGTATAGATGTACTTAGGCTGCGTTATTTAGTTTGTCGGCATGTACTTCTAGTATTATTGTGTTGTTTAATGTGGCCTAGTATTGGACTTTTCATTGTGTTATTGTTTTCATTATTTGTGGTCATAATATTCATGTTAATATTCCAGAGTTAGTGAAATGAATTCACGTGCTGCTAATAAAACCTAACGAAGTAGTGCATTATATAATTCAACACGCACAACATATGAAATAGCATGTGAGAACATACACCAAACAAGGGTACAGAGGTCCTGGACTAAACTTAACATGCCTTAGGTAATTGAAGCGAACAACAAGCACATGAAAATGGTATGTGAGAACATATACCAAACAATAGTACAGAGGTCCTTCGACTAAACCTAACATGCCTTAGGTAATTAAACAAAACAACAAACACATGGATGTGACATATGAATAAGATAGGTTCCTCCTAATAGTGTGGCCACATAACAAATTGTGTTGCACCTTCTCCACAGTATCCTCCCATTGTTGGTGGTGGTGGTGGCGGGGGTGGAGGTGGAGGCCCCTTGTTCTTGTGATTAGGGCAGGTGTAATATGGATCATTATAGAGTGCCTCCTGTAAATCGGCACCATTGTTGTTGTTGTTGTTGTTGTCGTCGTCTTCGTCGTCCTTGTAACCGCTGCCAATTTCCCTTTCTAAATCAAAGATACGGTCCTGCAGGTAGTAGATGTACTGCTGATGTTGATAAATTGGTCTAGGATCGACTCACCTAGTGAACCCACAATTTTCTTCGGACTTGGAAGACTACAATAAGTATGTCCTATAAGTTGTAGTGCAATCGAGAAACATATTTAACAAACAAATAAAAATAGCAATTACCCATACTTGCGGGCATTTGAAGAAGCGACGACCTCCATCCATCCCCTCGGTGAACATCTACACTAAGCAGTCCTTACCATGCATGCATTTTGGCCAATCTTCTTTCCGGTTATTGTATCCTCTGAGAGGGCACTCTTTAGTAAAATCACTCTTGCTCTCGGAGGGGAAAATTATACACTAGTTCCTCAAAGAAATCAGGACCAAGAGACCCCTCCCACACAATGGGATTTGCCTTCGCCCCCCTCCCTTTCCTTTCCCACTGCTTGAACCCTTTCCTCTAGACGACCCTCCAGACATTCCACTCCCTGAACACAAATACATATGCAGAGAATAAATAAGAAGTAGAAGTAAAGTCGTTACCTCCCCCTCTACGGTGAGTCATCCTCGGTGCTTCTCCTCGTAGTACGGCTCCAGCAGGTCGAACGGCTCCATCCTACAAAAAATAGTTAGAAAGTCCATATTAGTTTTATATGAACAAATAATTAACTTTTTGGTACCAGTAAACATGCTTCTCAAACATTGGTTATTTTCACTTGACTAAGCGGCTAATGACATGTACGTGAGTTATGCCCAAGTCTGCCACATTTGCCACATTGGTTCTGCTCGGGGTCAGTAAGAAAGGGGGTTGCTCTCCCTCGCCTCGTTCTACCAAAAACCTGGTCTATGACCATCTTGTGTCTCGTCCTCTTCCTGGTTCCACGTTGTCCCAATGTGTACTTGGATCCGCAATGTATTTCGGACCAGTGTAAGGTGGCCACTGCCCCTCGTCTAGGAAAGGCTCAAAACGGGGAGACCCTCCAATTGCAATCAGCCTTCTCACACACCATTGTGTAACGGCGCTCCACATAGGAGTGTCTATGGTCTTTTACGTCTCATGGAATATTCCTATAACCATCATCTCAAGGTGGGCAAGTCCTTGAAGACCATGCCCTTTTGAATTTCCACACTGTCACCGGCCTCAGGAGCCTCTAGCAGCTCGTCATCTCTTCCTTCTCCATAACCATGTTGAGAATGACTGAGGTCGCTGAATTCATGAACTAGTGGATCACGATCAGGACACAAATGTCTGATCAGCTTCATTTCTTGTTAGCTCAAAGCTGCAACTGGGCGGTCATCATCAGAATTAACGACCCTTGCTGTGCCATAAGGCTCCTCATCATCCGTAATATCAACATCCACACTATTAGAGGCTATAAACCCTAGGTCCACATTGGTTGATGGAGGAACAGGAGGACAACCATCATTATCAGGATTGTCTCCTGTATTTAAAACACAAATATTGAAATAATTGAGATAAAGGAATGGAATGAAGGAAGAATAAGGAAAGCCAAAGTTTTACTACGTCACTTACTAGGATGATTCTGGGTCAAAGGGATCTCCTTAGGGGCAGCAACAACATCATCAGTCCAACATTCTACACGAACATCAGGACATACTACAATCTCATTCGAGGCGGATTGAGCATCGGGCACCACAACCACATCTTCCACATTCACCTCGCGGTTGGGTAACGGAGGCTTAGAGGGTGCCGGATTCTCTGGTTCTGGCAAGAACCCACGAGGGGGTGAATGCCCATTAGGGGGTGAATACCCATGAGGGGTGGAATTATTGGACAACTTTCACACAACTAAATCCAAACATTGAAACTCATTCTTTATCACAGTTTTGACATATTTGTCCTATTGAGACTCTGATACAATTGGGACAAACCACCTAAAAATACGGCCCTGATTTACCATAGTGAAGTACCCCCTCAACTGAGATGGCATCCTCATTTGAATTGCATTGAAGCTCATCATAAGCCCTACCAAACAACTCACAGAACAACGGCCGATCATCGAATATCACATGCACCCTTTGCATTCTAACAAAACTAACATTCCTAAACTCATCTTCCTCCACACATCCTACATGATAAAGGGTGACTACGTTGTCCATCTAGTTGGTATGCACAACACAAAAATTATTACGAGTTTAACTAATACGGGTATAACTAAATTACATACATAAATAAGTATCCAAGTCTCTACCTAAATAAATAAGTATCTAAACTACCAAACTATCTATCAAACTATATAAGTTAATTTACTAACTACATTGACTATAAGTACTACCTATATAACTAAATTACCTAACTATCTAACTATCTATCTAAATTAGCTAAATAAATAAACTAACTACCTACATAACTCAAATGTCTCACTATCTACCTAAATTAGCTAACTAATTTACATCAGTAAATAACTAAAAAAGCTAACTAAATTATCTCACTACATAACTATATAAAATAAATAACTACATTATCTAAACTAACTCAATTAAAAAATGAAATTAAAAAAAATACCCGAGATGGCACTTGGATAACGCCCGGCCGAGGGTGGAGGGGGTGGCCTCACGGGAAGGGGGGGGGGGGGGGTTGGCGGCCCGCCGTCGATCGGGACGCCTTGAGGAGAAGCGGCGTCCGCCCTCTTTTTATGACGATGGGACGATGAGCGTGGAGGATGACGATGGGGCGATAACAACAAGGATGGTGGCCTTTGAGGAGCGGACGAGGGTTGGAGGAGGCGAGCGGGACCGCGCAACGGGCTTGACGGTGTTTACTGTGGTGGTGTGTGCCGCCCGCCCGCGAGGCGGCGGCAGGCGGTTTTGAATGGGCAAGCTTACGCGGCTAGGGGGAGAGAGGGAGAGACATAGGAGCTTTCTTCATTACTCTTTTCAATATTTTAGGTTTAATAGGTATTTTAGCCAAGATATGTGGCTCCAGCAGCGTACCGGCCACGTCGGTCAGGACCTCAGTTGCCCTGCTATGCTTATGCCAAGCACCTCGGCGCCATAAGTAGTGGCGCTATTTCAGCTAACATGTTACCTCTCGGAGACAGTGTGTTCTAAGCGTTTGTGGTCTAAAATCATTTTACGTCGCCCAAGGTGGCAAACATAAATTTTCTTCAAAAAAGTACCAAATTGCAAAAAATTATGTTGCAGGGGGCTTGACTTTCTTCATTACTCTTTTCAATATTTTAGAAAAAAATTCCTCAAAAAATATTTTAGAAAAAAAAAATAGTGTACAGTTCCAGCACGTGTGGCAATACCTGGCTTTTTGCTGAAGAGATCAGGATGCTCAGATGATCTGGGGCGGTGGATGACGCACGCCATCAAACGTGGCACGTTAATTCTTCTATTTCAGCTAATCATGGTTTATCCAAAATTAGGTTAAGTGCCATACTTTTCAGTAGTTTAGTGTGATGGTAGAGGCTGACAAGAATGTCACCTTGCAGGAAATCATCCCTGATCCATCCATCCATGCATTGATGCATGCATCATCCATCCGCACAAAAAAGCTTCACCCATCATTTGGAGGGCAAAGGCATTCATTCCCTTTTTTTCCTTATGACGAAGATGGCCGTCAAGAAAAAAACCATAAACTCGCGGCCACATTCGTCAGTGTCACGTGCTGATCGGATATTTTCACGCCACACCTGTTCAATTAGCGTTCACATCCATTTGAGTCAACCTTGCGCTGCGCCAACTGGCAACGGGTGTCTGACTTCTCTCACCTCATCACGTTGTCTCATTCAACGCTAGCTAATTGAGGAACGTGATCGATGAAATCACCCGTCCATAGCCACATCTTCCTCTCTTTGACCGTCTGGCGTCTGCCCTCCCGGTCCCGGGCGTGCGTTCTTTTCGGCGCTGATAAATACCCAGCGTAGTACATCTCAACCGCCGAGCCGGCAATTCGTCACCTCGATCGTCTTCCTCTTCCCACACCTGTAAAAAAGTCCCCTCCATCTCTATCCTCTCTCTCCCTCTCCCTCTCAAGTCTGAAGACAACAGCAACAGCAATGGCAGTGCGCGCCATTCACACGCCGCTGCTCCTGTGCACCATGGCGCTGCTGCTGACCGGCCTCGTGTCCCCGTCCACCGCCGGGCTCAGCCTCGACACGGTGAGGGAGTTCCTGACGCGGGAGGAAGACACCATTGTGTTCAGCCTCATCGAGAGGGCCAAGTATCCACTCAACCGGCCGGCCTACGCCCCCCTCCACTTCGGCGCCGGCGCCGGCGCCGAGCCCGACCGCCACCTGAACGCCTCTTTCGCCGAGCTCTTCATCCGCGAGTCCGAGGCCGTTCAGTCCAAGGTACTACAATTCAGATGACGAATTCCTCTCCGCGTTATTTTTTCAGCTTCGGAAGTAGTAGAATTCAGTTCCTGTTTCTCCAAACGGTAACGAAGAAGAACAAGTCAGTTGTCGAGCAGCATTCTTTTTCGTGCTGATTAGTTGCTCGCCGGCTTTGTCAGCATCTGCATGTGGCGCGTGGCCGGCGATCCATTAATCTATGATTTTGATTGTCTGAACTTGTTTAAGATGCGCTAACTTTGAGACATGTTCACTTATCTTATAATCCGTATTTTTCAGCTTATTTTTTCAACCGAAATAGTGATTTTCTCTTCCAACAAATCAACCGGAACAATATTTTATCTTACTTTTTCAGCGAAGCGAACGGGGCTGTGGGGAGGTGTTGGCTGATGCTAATTAATTCGTTTGCTTTCAATTATTTTCTGAACAGTCTTTGATATGGGAAGAAAGTGGCAGGCCGGTACCAGCTGTACGTCTATTTTAAAATAGCAACGGGACAGCCATTTTCTTCGTTTACTGATTGGATTGGAAACTATGAAAGCTTATATTAAACCTCTAATAAGTCACAAAAATAATAAGTCAATTTTGGATCATTTGTTGTTGGCCATATTTTTAGCTTTGGCTATCTGTAGCTAAATGTTTACACAAATTGGAAATAAAGATTGGTGCCACATGATCCATCATGAAAAATACTTCCATACTTTTTAACTCATTCTATTTAACACGATAAATGAAACATAATTATTTGAAAATTAATATACATTGATAATGTAAGACGGATGTTTTCAACATCATTATGAAAGTACTTCCATGGCATATAACTATCTATTTGAAATAATGTATTTTCATAGATACATTCGTAGTCAATGTATATTTGTGACTAGAGGAAGTAGTTTTTGTATTGGGATTAGTCAATGTATATTTGTGACTGTGTTATAAAGCATGCGTTAAGTCCTAACGGCAAGCTATCTCTGCACTGCTACTGCCATTGGCATCGAAGGATTCAAAGCAACACAAATTGCGTGTATTGTGACCAAAGATATGAAGTGAGTGTTAGCTGAGAAACTCCAGTAATCCTGAGTTGCTGCTCAACTTTTTCCATAGGCCGGAAGGTACCAAAGCCTACAAGAGATTCCATTCTTCGCTTACAGAGTTCCTTTCACTCTGGCACCTCTCTACAACTTCACAAGAGTAAGCATCCAGCAGCCATTGCGGAAATGATAATGAGCCATGAACAACAACTATCTCTGAAACGATATATCACTGAACCCCGGAGCTTAATTGATGCTATAATTCCAGGATCTGTATCCCGCTGCCGCATTCGTTAACGTTAATGACGCCATATGGAGCATGTACTTCAACGAGCTGCTCCCTCTGCTGGCTAAGAACGGTGATGATGGCAACTATGCCGTAACTGCTGATGCAGATCTTGCATGTCTTCAGGTACATAAACAATGTCACACTGCATACTCCCGAATTCGTCACAAATGTAGAATTCGTTAGAAGTCAAGAATGAACACCGAGAATGTCTCCCTTTTACAGGTGCTTTCAAGAAGGATCAACTATGGCAGGTACGTGGCAGAAGTGAAGTTCAGAGGAGACCAGCAGACCTATACAAGCTTAATTCAGGCTAAGGTATTCAAAACTCCCAATGTTCACAGAGCATCAGGTGATCAGTATTCGAATGTTTAAGCTTTGATTGGTGTTTCCTTTTTACAGGATAGAGATGCTCTGATGAAACTACTGACATCTGAAGCCCAAGAAGACGTGGTGAAGAGGAGGGTAGAGAAGAAGGCAATTGTGTTTGGGCAAAGCATAACGTTAGATGGACCAATCCAAACAGATGTCAACAATAGCAGCCAGGCTAATTTCAAAGTTGATCCTTCAGTTGTTTATAAACTGTATGACCAGTGGGTGATTCCGTTGACTAAACAAGTGGAGGTCGAGTACCTTCTCCATCGTCTCGATTGATTGAATCAAATGTGTATCCAGCTAACCTATTTGTATACAATTGTAATCAATTGCTGTCACACCGACAACATACTTACGCAATAAGAAACATACAGAAAGTTTAAACATTGTTATCCTCAGTTTCCTAAGATCATTTATAAAGCATAATATCGATTTTCACCAGTGATTAATTGGGCATAAAATTTTTCCAAAAGGATGCAAAAGAACATCAAAGGGTAAAAACAGGGGTAAAACATGATATCAGATATCCACAAATAGAACTGAAGAACTGAACCTGTCGATGACAGAAAAACAGGCATTGGATTTCCCCAAGAGGCAGTGCCTATCCATGTGAACAACTAAGTGTTAATATGGCAACACCAAGTATACAAAGTACACAGACCATACATTGCACTCAGCCGCAAAAGATTCAAGTTCCTGCAATCGCAAAATGCCAGGAGATGAGCAAGGCTGGAAGAAATGAAATGCGCTTTCAGTTCCTTACACGTCTCTCAAATTGCAACATCATCTTTTAGTAACTATGTCTGCAACTACATCTCAGTTTTATGCACTGCGCATCACCAGCTATTTCTTTCCATCAAGATGGGCGGTGACTGTTGTGCTGTTGCCTTCTACCTCGGAGTTGTTTCCCCAAGTCAGACTCAAAACAGTTTGCCTGGCAGATGCTACAAGTCCATCCTGAGGTGGGCCTTTGGTTCATGTCAACAAGCTGTGGCTCTTTCTTTTCATAAAGGTTAGCCTCCTGGGATCCACTCTCCCCTTCATTTTCCTCGCTCTCTCTCCATAGAGCTCCTAAGTTCTCTCAGTGCCTCCTGCCATTCAAGTGATTCTTTAGGTCCAACTCGCCTGAACACTTAACTTGGCAAATGCTGCAATTCCATGCAGTTGGATTGTGATGCATGCCGCGGTACAACTCTGCTGTTGCTATCGTTGTCGGCTCAGCAGTTTCCATAGCCCATTTCATGTCTGCTACATTTGACTGATGCCGGTAGCCAGCAGTCCAGCACAATGTTCCACAAAAGAGATTTCACCAGATGTATTCACGTGGCAGAGATCACAAATCCATTTCTCAGACGATTTTTTGTTGTTTGCTTCTGAAGTTTCATCAGTCCTTTCCTCTTCACCCCAGAAAATGTCTTTTTAGGCAGCCTAGCCTGCTTAATGATCAGCTAGTTTTCAGTGACAGCCAAGGACAATGTCAAAAACAAAATTGTAACCATCTTCAACAATACGTTTTAGTTACGCAGTTTATAATCTTCAACTGGAACTAGATATAACAAGTTTCAGTGTTGTATAGGTCATACATAGCTTCTACTCCTGTGGCCCTACATCAGACTAGAACTTCCATCTATTGTACATCAAAATCTGAAGCACTCTGCCTAGCCTCTCTTTGTAACTGTCCTGATGATCCAGGCAGCATATGTATAAAAGAAAGTGCATGCAGCATCCTCGCCAGATGAATCTTAAATTCAGTGAATAGTAGAGGGAATAAATTGAATATCAGAAAAGTTAAAACAAACTTGGGTCATTCTTCACACTGTATCCAGGATCATTATCCTTGGAGCTAATGTTCACCAAAACCCTAAACGGTAAACAGCTGGGCACATATCATTTGGCGTTTATTTGGGCTACACGGCCACTTAAATGGGATACAGTCATTAAATGGGATAAACAGTTGATTAAAAGGACATGGTTGGTCACCAAGTAACGTTTAAACGGCATGTAAACGGACTACACGGCCGTTTATGGCAACACTGAGAAAAAAAGCTAGGAACAGTAGTATATATTCTTCACACTGTGTATTTTGTCCATAATCCATGCATTGATGAAGGCCCATGTTCGACACTTTACCACGATATTAGTGTCAAAGTCACATGAATTATAAAGATAGCGGTGATAGTCCATGGCCAAAAGGCAAACAAAGACCCTATCACTTCTTGTTAAGCATACTAATGGATAGCACAATATAATTATTTGAGGGAAACATTACCCTGAAATTGTAAAGCTTCACTATTAGGATGGATTAATTATTAAAATCCCACAATCTAATATTTACAGTGGCGCTAGAACAATAGGTTAAAAGGGTCCCTATTCCAGATGGTCTATTACAAATTATAGTCTACTTTGGCTTTGTCCTAAGTCAACCTTCTACAACTTTACTAAGTTTACAGGGAAATGCACCAACATCGAAACATAAAACCAGTTTCATTAAATTCTCCATGAAATATGTTTTGACAGAGCATTTATTTGAACTTAAAGATGTTTTTTTTTTTTTTCTAAAAACATGGTCAAAATTAGACAAGTTTGACTTAGGACAAAGCCGAAGTGAACTACAATTTGGAACCAAAGGAGTACATGATAATATGGATGGTCAAATTAATAGTTTTTCATTGCATGAAAAAAATGCATACAGCAAACCAATGTCATACTTAGTCTCTAGTCCTAAGATAGGAAGATGAAAAATTTACTTTCATGACAAGCTAAATCCAAACATATCTGCATAGATAGCCAAAACAAATACTACAAAATAATGCTTGAAAGACTGTTTCATAAGTTGACATGGCTGGCTTCAAGTTAATACTTGAGAGATACAGAATTGCTAACAAAATTTTCAGTTTTCTTTGGAAAGATCAACCGTGTTTTCAGTTTATGTGCAGAGAAATGTTGCACAGTTCAAGATTGGTGTGTCCTTTTACTAAATGCTAATGCTAGATGAAATTATCTTTAATGTGCAGATACATCATTTAGTAAAAGGATACACCAATCTTGAACAATGCAACATTTCTATATTTTTAACATGCATATATATAACAGACTGAGGAAAAAACGAGGAGGAGAATAAGCTCACCCATTCAACCAATGCGTCCTCGTTTGCTGATAGTCGATGCCATGGAGGCCGATACCATTCATCAATTCGATCTTTAACAGAGCGTCTGGGAACCGGCATACCTCTGGGCATGTGGAAGTGGAGCAGACCCTCTTGCCGCACAGGGGATGTATCATGGTGGGGCATTGTGGTCAGCTGGAGCCCGGCAGGGGTGCACAGGGACAGGGGACCGGCGTGCTCCAACCCGAGCTCGCGCCAGACCTCGGACTCTAACCCCCGCTGCTCCGCCAGCTCAGCGGCGATGATCTCCTGGATAATGCTCTCCTTCACAAGCTCCCTCCGGAGTGCATCCACTGACATTTGCCCTGCATCCCCAACGCCACCGCTGTCAGTTTTCTTCAACGGACGGCATTTTGTCCGGATAATAATGTGGTCCGGTCATCAAATTCCTCGCCAATGAGGCACAATATCTTCAAGCTACCGATCGAATTCGCACTCTAACAATTTTTCCGGAAGCGCGTTTGACCGATTACAATCGGTCACCACTTCCTAAACCCTAGGACATCGAGAACAGTAATGGTAACTATATCGAGAAAAGGACGGAAACCAGTGTGATCCAGAAACGAAAGCAAAGGACAAGTTCCATCACCGTGCGGGGGAGAAGGATCGGGGAGGCGGTAGTCGTCGTCCAGGCGAGCCGTAGCGGCGGCTCGGCGGACGATTTCCATGGCGGGGGTACGGTTTGGAGGATAGGAGGCGTGGCCTCGGGAGCCGAGAGGTTTTGTGGGCTGGTCACTGGGTCAGGTTCGAACAGTCGTTCAGAATCCAACAGCTCCAGCACGGCGTGTTCGTTCCTGTGCACGTTATTGGTTTCCACTTTGCAGCAAGCGTACCAAATTCAAATCACCATGGAGATAAAAAAAATTCAAATCACCACATTTGAATAATAGAATCATGGTTCTTTTAGAATTTAGAAAATGGAATGTTATACATAAAAACTAGATATGTAATTATTTTAAAAACTGGAAGTTACGATGCCAATTTTAAATTTCTCAAATTTTATATATTTTTTAGACCTAGTACAAACATAGACATTCGTACACATGAGAATACACTCACTCTATAAACGGGTACATACACTCTACTTATATGAGCACCTCCAAAGAACTCTCCTGCCCCTGTGAGCGAGTTGGACTAGCCAATCTCGAGCCTAATGAAGTTGAATTTCTGATTTTTTATGAACTTTTTTTGCGATACCTAGTACAAACACAGACGCTATATATATATATATATATATATATATATAAGCGTACACTCCCCTATGAGCCAGGCTCATACGCTTTAGATGGTATTGATTTAGGGGCTGTTTAGTAGAGTTGCACTCCCTGATTCTTAAATCTAGCTCCTTAATTTTTTGGTAGAGTGATTCTAGTTGATTTTAATATGTACTAGTTATTTTGATGGAGATTGAGGCCGCTTTGGTTGGACTTCCAACCTGCTTTAGCTTTCAAAAAGTCAAAAGACAACTAAAGAGATATCATGCGCGGGTGCAGCTGAGAGGCTAGCCCGACGCCTCGTCCAGGTAAACAAACGCTATGCTAGTGTTCGAATCAGCCGCTACGGCAGCAGCGACGCTGCGCACGGTGATAGATGTGTCTGCAGCTCAGCGGGCTTTTAGCACAAGTGAACACGCTATATTAGATAGTCAATCAGCGGATAAGAGCATCTCCGAGAGTTTCATAGATGCCTTTCTAATTCTTAGTTTTTAGTAAGATGAGAAAAAAATTTTGTTCAATAACTCATAATCTATCCTCCTAATCTTTTTCGAACTTGTAAAAAGTCACCGAGTTCTGTGTAAAGTCACGCGCTTGCGAGTCGCGTGTATCTTCCCTCCCCACGCATACTTGTCAGTCAATATAAGGGTGAAAGGGTGTGGAAAGAATAAAGAGTAAGAAAGGATTCTGATGCAAATATACAAGAGAGAATATAAAAAAGTTTGGATAATTTAAAAATAGTATAGAATTCCTGATGTAAAATTGTCTTGTATATTTTAGGAGTGGATTATTAAAAATCCTTGGAGATTGTCTTATTTATTTCTTCTAATATTTTTTTATATTTTTTAGAGTCGTAAAACTCCATATTTTTTGAAAAAAAAATATTAGGTACTCTTGAGATGCTCATCAAGTCATTATATAATGATTATAAGCACTAATTGTTATTAGGCACATGCTAATTAGGATTTGTGATAACTAATCTATACCCTTCGGACTCCTTCCGAAGGGCATCGGTTTGATCCCAAAAGAACATGTAAGCCATCATTGATCATGAGGTATATCTACCTTACTAATTCATTAACATTTTCAATGCTAAGTCTACCTTAGAAAGCGGCCCCCACCGAGAAGCCCTCTCTCCATCCACCAAAAAAAATATTGTACCAAAGAAACAACACCTTTAAAACAAATTATCCGTATTTACTCTAAATATTCTCTCTCCTTACTCACTCGCATCTAACGGCCAAGATCGTCATCCCTCTCTCTCTCTCTCTCCCACCTCCCACGCCCGCGCCCCCTCACACCCGCGCTAGGCACCCACGGTTCGAACCCTCAGGTCGTCATTTTTTCCGTCTATTCTTCGCTCGAGCATCGCGGAGCAGCCGCCCCGCCCCAGATCACGCTCGCGCTTGCGGTCGCCGAGCGGCCGGGCCACCATCGCGCAACGACGAACCGCGCTACTGCCCTCCTCTAGGCCCCGCCGCGATCTCGCCCGGCGCTGGCGCTGCCCTCCTCCAGGCCCCGCGATCCCGATCGCGCTCGCGGTTTCAAGGCTCCGTCCCCGTCGCAATCGCGGAGCGCCTGCCCTGCCCCAGATCGCGCTCGCCAAGCGGCCGGAACACCATCGCGCGACGTGCTCGCGCTCGCGTTCGCCGAGTGGCCGGGCCACCACGTGACCATCTCCGATTTCCGGCGGCGCGTGGTGGAAGACGGCGAGGGACCTGCAGCGTGCGGGAGTGACCGAGGCCATCAAGGTACACGCGGCGGCGGCGCCCGGCGTGAACTGGGATGCGCTTCGCCTGGGCTACGTCGGCCCTGCCCGCGCCATGGGCCCGTCGTCCTGGATTGGAAGGACCGCGAGGAGGCGCGGTGGCTCCGCTAGGAGTAGTGCTGGCTACGGGAGGAACAACGGTGGCTCCGCGAGGAGTCACGCTGGCGCACCGAGCGCGAGGCCCTCCTCGCCGACGCCTCCGCTCTACGGCTCCGCCTCCGCGACGCTCGAGGGATCACGCAACCCTGTCGGCCAAGTGCTACGTAAGACACCTGCTACCTGAGTCAAAATGTTTTATGGGCGCGCGCGCGTAGGGTGTTCGATGATTTGCCTGACCGAGCCGGCTTGTTTCCGTGCTGCAGGGCGATAGGTTCATCCCGGACAGGTCGGCGATGGATATGGAAATGGCACACTACCTGCTCGCGGAGCCCAGGAAGGACAAGGAGAACGCGGTGGCTGTGTCACCATTCAAGGAGACCTACTGGAGGCTGCTCGCTGAGAAGCTGCTCAACAACCGGACATGGATCCTCGCCTTCAGGAACAAGCCGCCTGAGCCTGAGAACGTCTCGGCAACCGTTGCAGCTTCCTCCCACCACACCAAGCCGGCCAAGCAGCGGCGACATATTCCCCAGGTATATGCATTTACCGATGTTTTTTGTGTTCATCACTTGGATGGCGATTTCTGATGCTGCTCGAAATGTATGCAATATGCAGAGAGGACTCTAGACGCACCAGAGCTTGTTGATGACGACTACTACCTCAACCTGCTCGACTGAGGGAGCAACAACTTGCTGTCCATTGCTCTGGGTGACACGGTATACCTGTGGGATGCATCCAGTGGGTCCACGTCTGAGCTTCTGACCATCGACGAGGACAGCGGTCCCATCACCAGCTTCAACTGGGCTCCAGATGGACAGCATATCGCTATTGGGCTCAACTCGTCTGATGTCCAGCTCAGCTCCAACCGACTGGTATGTGCACTGCTTCATCCAAAAATGCATGCACGTTCTCTGTTGTTGAATTCAGGTCGTTCTTTCCCTGCAGTTGAGAACTCTCAAAGGTGTGCATGAAGCAAGAGTTGGCTCACTGACATGGAACAACAACATCTTCACCACTGGTGGCATCGATGGCAAGATCGTGAACAACGACCTGAGAATTAGGAACCATGTTGTGCACACATACGAGGGGCACAGTCAGGAGGTGTGTGGGCTCAAGTGGTCTGGATCAGGAGCAGTCATGGATGACACCAACTTTTGGTCTCACAGTTAAGTTCCCCAATCTCAAATCCCCATTTTTTTTTGTCTCTACAGCCTGTGCAGATGGACTACTCACATGTATATCAATTAAGTCTAGTTTTTATTATATTGTCAATGTTCACATACAAATGCCATATGGCAGCTGTCAAAACATATCAAGGAGAAAATGATAGAAGTAAATGTTTTAGTTTTGATGTGGTAATTTTTTTCCTTTTTGGCTGCAGGCTACTCTCTTGCTTGATGCTTTTGACAAGAACAGAGCTTCATTCTAATGACATGATTAATGAAAAGCTTCAGAAAGCTGAAGAGCTTGGTATGGAAATCTTCCCCTGTCCGTTATAGGCTTACACTGTATATATTCATATTTTTATATGATAATATATTTTTTAGAAAACTTAGTCAGGGGATGTTGTGAGTTTATACTTGACTGTATACATTCCGATTTTTATATGATAATATTGTATTTCTATCGTTCATTCCGTTTTCATGTGCATTCCTAAAGTGCCGCTGTGGCGTTAGCACAGGCACTATACTATTTGTGTACACTATAACACAACCAATTTGTAGCGTTCAGACAACGACTAAAAATATAATATTAACGACCAACAATTGATCGGTATAAATTTCTAACAAATCATCAACTGCTATTTTTACTTGTACTGACTGTGCATCAGTCCATACATATATTTAGCTGTTTCCTCGGGCCATTGCTCAATAAAAACACATATTAGAGTCAAACTATAGGTTGGTATAGCCCGTTTTCATTTTGGCACCCTCAGCCTAATCCATGCACACGCAAAGTAATTTTGTGGTCGACCTGTCAAACGTACATCCAAAACCCTATCTAGAGCACACTAACCGTCCACCCCAGCAGCCGCCATCACGGGCTTGAGTTTCTCCACACAAAAAACCTCACGGACTCTTTCTTCGGACCTTCACCACCACTGCCCTCGCTTGGGACGCCGCCACCGTCGTGGTTGCCATCCTTGCTACCGTGTCCGCTGTCTCCGCCGCCGCGGCTGTCCTCAAACCATTGGTCGCTAAAATATGTAACAGATTATTGGTCAGTACAAGTATTAACGTCCAACTATCGGTCGGTATATAACCCTGTCGGTCACTATAGATTTTTTTTAAGAATTCGCTATAGATTTATACTGACATCACTTACCGCGACTGTTACATCGGTCGTTATAATGCTATAACGACTTATAGCGACTCTTTTGTAGTCGCTACAGATAGGCTAGGCTATGGTATAGTGGTAATTATTTGTTTATCTAAACATATACCGATATATACAATCGTTTATTCCTTCATTCAATCTCTATTCCTTTATATTCACGAACTTCTAGTTTTAATATTTTGGACACACATCAACCATAGGACTGTCTACGTATACTATTAGAATTAGAATTTAATTTAAAACAATGAAT